ATATACCTGATGGATTATAACAATCATTTCAAGTTCTTTTTGAAAGCAAGGTGAATGCTTCTTGAAGTGCCAAAAAAATTACTATAAAGCAAACATTTTGTGAATTATATTTTAAACTAATGTTATTAGTAATGCCAGGAATACTTTGTCATGGATAAAGATCTTGAAAGTCCTAAATGAGCGTGTAGTTCTAGTTTCTGCACATCAGCTAATGTGACTCAGGTATCTTTTCACAATTTCCTAGGTACCTTTTTACATTTAATTACAAAATTGAATAACAGATGGTTAAATTTGTCTAATGGGAACATTACTCATTCTCTGTACTGAAGAACAGAGGTTGTAGGAGTGAATTCTGTTTTGTGGCTGTAAGACCTAGAGTCGAATTGCACACAACTTTTTGTACTTTAGATATTAACCAGTTTTGGGTTTTGTCCCTTTAAACTCCCTTGGTTCAGATGGAGTTTATTCCCTTCCTGGCTGTATGCAAATTTATTTGCAGCCAGTTAAAAAACACTTATCCTTGAGCCAAGTTTTACAAAGTCTTTTGCAAGTGTTGTAGTCTAGGTAAATTTTAGAAAACAGTCATATCAGTTTAAAAAGAAGAAAGTTAAGAGAAGGTCAAGTTTGTTTGTTACTCTTAGAAAATTAGGATTCCTAGTAGCAGTTGGAGCTGTTACCTGAAGTTGTAGCCTGTGTGCGGAAGTGGATATTGCAGCACGCTACGATTTGCCTGAGCAGTGTGCTGTGAAGTGAAAATTGATGTTAAGTTTAGAAGTTACCCAGCTGATTATTGGTTCATTATACATGTGGTAAACTATGAGTTGCTTTTGATTTTATTTTTGTGATGGAAGTGAGAGTCTTGCGTGTAACAGTTAAGAACATGGCAAAGTAATACTTAAATATAAACATTAATCAACCCATGTAAACGCACCTTAATGTACAACTCATGGCCAGCTCAAGTGATCTGGAAGGTTTTATTAATACAAAAGTTAAAAAGAAGATTAAAAAAAAAAAGTAGACTTGCTGTGAGTTTTGCATTAAAAGTTAATGCAGTCATCTCAGGTCATCTTAATTCTTTGAATGTTGACATTGTTACTGCAGTAGCCTGAACTGGGCTTGGATGAGGAAATAGTGATTTTTATACCAATAAACGTAGTGAACTATGGTGAAAAATCTGTCTACTGTTTTTATGTGCAAGATTTCAATTACTCTGAATATTAAGATGGCTGAGACTGACCTTTTAAGATACGATGCAGTTGCATTAGTATTTGCTATGATTTTTGTGTGCCTTATTGTCATGACCTGTGAGTACTTATACAAGTAGTGGGATACTTACAGTAAACCAAAATTGGGAGGAGTAAACAGAAAGTGATACTTTTAACTATTGATAGACTGGAAAGACTACGTTTGCAAGGGAGAAGCTCTGTCACTGAAATCTTCTAAGTGAAGAACTAAGTAAATCAGTAGGAAACAGTCCTTTGATATAGGAGTTTATGAAGTTCCATGGTTTCTGTTGATGCTGCTGTCTTAAATTGTATGTGTGTTTATATACATAAATATTATTTTGATATCATAGAACCATAGACTTGTTTAGGTTGGAAAAGACCTGTAAGATCATCAAGTCCAACTGTTAACCTAGCACTGCCAAGTCCACCACTAAACCATGTCCCTAAGCACCACATCTACCCGTCTTTTAAATACCTCCAGGGATGGGGACTCAACCACTCCCCTGGGCAGCCTGTGCCAGTGCTTGGCAACCCTTTCAGTGAAGAAATTTTTCCTAATACCCAACCTAAACCTCCCCTGGAGCAACTCGAGGCCATTTCCTCTCATCCTGTCGCTTGCTACTTTGGAGGAGAGACTGACCCCCACCTGGCTACAACCTTCTTTCAGGTAGTTGTAGAGAGTGGTAAGGTTTCCCCTCAGCCTCCTTGTGCTCCAGACCCTTCACCAACTTCGTTGCCCTTCTCTGGCCACGCTCCAGCACCTCCATGTCCTTTTTGTAGTGAGGGGCCCAAAACTGAACGCAGGATTCGAGGTGCAGCTTCACCAGTGCCCAGTACAGGGGGACGATCACTTCCCCAGTCCTGCTGGCCACACTATTTCTGATACAAGCCTGGATGCCATTGGCCCTCTTGGCCACCTGAGCACACTGCTGGCTCATGTTCAGGCAGCTGTCAACCAACACCCCCAGGTCCTTTTCCACCAGGCAGCTCTCCAGCCACTCCTCCCCCAGCCTGTAGCATTGCATGGGCTTGTTGTGACCCAAGAGCAGGACCTGGCACTGAGCCATTCCTTATCTGCAAATATTTTATCATAGAGATGTTTGCAAAACCTTCGCCTTTGGGCTGCTTCTAAAATCAGGGAGTTAGTGTCTTTAACAAGCTAGGAAAGGGTTGATTTCTTTTCATCTTGTGATGCTCTGGCTGTCTTATAGATGGCTGAAAGAATAATGCTAGAGGTCTGACTACAAAAACTGCGATATGTTAAAGTTCCTCCTGGGCAGGTAAACTACTTGTGGTTTATGTTCTTAAATCAGGCTGGAAGCATGATTTCTTTGTTAGTATAAGGGACTGTCAGAATTGTGTGTCAGTGAGAATCTGCAGGTACGTAACTACCTTGCCTCTGCCTCCAGCTACTTGCAGTTTCGCTTCTACCTGTTAAATGTGTTGCTTATCTTGAGTAGCTACTGGCAGCAGTGTAGCTTATGCACCATAAGGAGATCTGGGAAGTGAGCTTGAGATGTCTGAAAAAATGCTGTGTGGTATCTTACTTTAGTAGTCTGTATTTTGCCCAGAGGAGTTTGAGTGACAAATGTAATATAAATGTAGAGATGGAGTAGATTATCCTGTTCCAGGTTCTGCAAGAGATTGACAGTACTTAGATGAGAAGGGAGGGGAAAAATATTTCTAGTACAAGTGACTGCTAAAACGGATACAGAGTTTTAGAACTTCTTGCTTACATAGCTGTCTCTGGGTTGAAGTCGTAGTTAGGCTTTGCTTCTTTTGGACTTCTTGATCAATAATGTCCATTAAAAATAAAAGGTCTGTTTACCAGAGTAAGGACATCTTAGTTTTGATTTCAAGATTTGCGTATTACTTCCTCTTTTAACTCCATACTAAGCCCAGGTAACAGAAATACAGGAGAGATGTAGCTGTAAGGAAGAGGTTTGAAATATGGCAGTTAGAAAGGTGAAAGGTTGGTGTCAACATCTGGAGTAGTAAGAGAAAAAGATTTTATCCTAGCTTTCTGTGCTGGGTCAGGCTGGGGTGGAGTTAATTTTCTTCATGGCAGCCCATGTGGTGCTGCATTCTAGATTTGTGACCAAATCAGTGTTGATAAAACACTAGTGTTAAAACAGCGCTTACCCAGTGTCATAGCTTACTGTTTCTTAGTGTGCCCCCCTGCAGGAATGGGATGGGGTGGGCCAGAGGTTGGAAGGGGACAGCCAGGACAGCTGATCCAACTGACCAAAGAGATATTCCATACCATATAATGTCATGCTCAGCAATAGAACCAGGGGCAGCAGGGTGGGGAGGAGGAGTCTTTTCCAAAGTAGCAGCTGCTCAGAGGCTGTGTGGGTATTGGTCTGCTGGTGGTAAGCGATGGCTTTTGCATCGTTTGTTTGTTTCTTTTTTTTTTTTTTTTTTTCCCCTTCACTTGTTAAACTGTCTTTATCTCAACCCATGAGTTTTTCTTGCTTTTCCACTTCTGATTCTCTCCCTGATCCCGCTGTGAGGGAATGAGCAAGTGGGGACTGACCTGCCAGCCAGGGTCAATCCACGACACTGTCCTAGATACCTCTGAATGCTTATCTTCATTACGCTTCTAGAGTAAGGACACGCTGCCCCTCCTTCTCACCTTGATACCTCCTCCACTATTTGTATAGTCTTGCAAATTTCTTTGTTTCAGAAGAAATACAGTATTGACAACTGTAGCCAAGAGACAGTAAGGAGAATTAGAAGGAGTGTATCTTCCACCAAGGGGAAGTAAAATGTCGTGTGGCGTAAGTTGAACAGTTATAGGCTCATTTCCAGTAACACTGAACTCATCCACTGTGTTAACAGTACACAGTGGTATGGGGTATTGACTAGAAGCACCTTGATCATTTCGGCTGCTGAGAGCATAACCAGAACCTGAAACCTTGCTGTCCGAGAAAACAGGGTCGCTGTTTCCTAACCACTGACTTGCAGGGCTGTGTCATTATGGATCAGCTACCACACTTTTTCATATACAGCAGTTCTTTTTGCCTTTGATTTCCCCCCGCCCCTAAAGTTCTAAACCTTAATTACCTATTCATGACTGTGTGGTGTAAATTGAGCAATGTTTATTAGCTGAATGCTTTGTTGATATGATTTTTGGTATGCAATATAGTTGCTTTTTTGCCTGTGAATAAAAATGTAACATTGGTGATCTTTGTCAGCAGGATTTTACTGCTGTTAAGGAAAAAGTGAGAAGGTACTAGGGAGGGAGAAATAGTAGCAGATGGTTTGTGCATCATCAGTATGCTGGCTTTCACCAGTTCATCTATCAATTTACATTACTCAGTGTTAAGGAGAAATGGGCAGCAGTCTCAAGAAGCTAGAGCACAGGAATTTCTCCTCAACTCTGAGTCTCAAAAACTCTGTCAAAACTGAGACTGTCATATAGCTCTCTGCTGGCTCGGTCTGAAGTCCAGTAGTCCAGGTTTGTTTCGGAAAGCTTTCTAAGAGATCTTACTGCATTTTTGTAAAATAGTGGGGGTGCTAAAGCTATACAGGTTTCAGGTTCATGAGTTAAATAGTCAAAAGACAAAGTGAAATGGGATGCAAGCCTACTTTTTCAGATAAAATGCAGTAGATTCCATGCTCATTTAGCTGCAGTTTTGTTAGAACACTTACTAAAATTTCAAGTGCTTTTTAATGTTAGAATACATGAAATATAGACTTCTTTATTCTGAAACAGTAGGTAACACTGTCTTTTTTTCTTTGATTTGTGTGTGTGTATTTTTTTTTCAATAGAATATTCAAATAAAAACTTTGGCAGATGATGTGGTAAGGTCTTTGTAACATCTTAATTTGCAATGGTAACTCCACGCTGCATGCTATTTTACTTCAAATGTTGTGGACAATATAACATGTTCTTATAAGGATATTAAGCATTAGATTTCAGCAAATTGAGTTACTATTCCTAAAGATCTTCATTTGTTACTTCAGTTGAAGAAGAGTAATTAATGATATCTGTTTGGAGAAGCTTCTTTAACCATATTCTAAATACTTTAGTAATACTGTGGATATGTTGAAACTGTTAATCAACAGTTCAAGTGTTATTTCTCTTGACCTTCTTTTTAACAGTAAAAGGATCTGCAGTGGGTCTTCAAAGTTAGTTGCCACATGATTCAAGTGGAACCATTTTGGGTAATAAGTGTTTACTGTATGTCAAACAACAAGTTTGTATTCAGTAGCACTAACTTTATAATTCTGAATACTTTGAAACCTGTTGTAAAATATTTTTACAGAAACTTATATCAAAATTGATTTCAGTAAAATTATGAACTTTTATTTTCTATGTACGATAGTTAAGCCACACTGGCCACTTAGTTAATCATCAGTTACATGTCTGAGATGAAGAAATTGTACCTAGTAGAAGATGATGGCTTTAAAGTGATCTCACCATTGCAATCTGATTAAACAAGTTTCTTGTTAATAAGGTATACTTGAAACAGATCACAGTATGGTGAAATTGATCTTAAATGGCTTTTTTTTTTGTGACTGCTGAATGGGCATTTTAATGTAAGTGAGCAGGAAAACTGCATTTGATGTATATTGGCTAATTTTAGATACTACCTTTCAGGCATTATGTCATCTTTGGCCTTTTCAACAGGCTATGCCCTAATTTTAAGTTCAAAAAAATGTAATGTAAACTATTCTAATAAGGAAAAAACGGGATTAAAGTACAATTCTTGCCTTGTAAAAGATGTTAACAGTATCCTTGTAGGTAATGTGTTTCTGTCCACAAATGTAAGACTTCTAAGGAAGAAGAAAACCCAAACCCAACCCCCCTCCCCTCGAAAATACACACCAACCAAAAAACCTCCAAAGGAATTTAAAGGGCATGCAGCTTATCTAGGGATACTTTCCCTTCAAAAAATTAAGGTAGTCTTGTACGATCTCAGAAAATCAAAACCAAAACAAACCCAACACCAAAACAAACTAAGAAAAAGAAATAAAACAATGATAATAATAATAATAATAATAATAAAGAACCTTTCTTCCCCATATTCCACAGCACTTGGTCAAATTTCTCCTACTTCTCACTGAACTAATCTAAAATGAATCCAAATTTCCTACAAATGAAATACTGCATTAAACTTTTCACACCTCACAGAGGTTGTTTAAATATAGAAAATGTAAATTTTGGTTTACATGTCTTCATAGAGATTGCAATAACTGCTATGAATGATACTGGTAACCCTACATAAGCTGCTGTTAGAGGAAAGCACATCTTCATAAGGCTGTTCAATGCCTGAAACAAATACGCTAGTATTTGTTTATGCAAACAGTTAATTTAGAAAAGTTGCTATAGACATAATGTTCTCAAAATGGACATACATATATATATAGTTAAAGACAGTATTTAATAAGAAAAATCTGACTCTATTCATAATAGAGTTTATTATTAATACAGTAATAAATGGCCTTATAAGGAAGGTGCTCTTGTTTGTTGCTTCCAATATTAACAAATTAACTGAGTAAGCATGCTTAAAAAAAAAAAAAAAGGTGGGGGTTTGGTATAAGGCATAAAACAAGTCAGCCTTAACCAGTGAAACAGTACTGCAGACTGTATGATATGCTTTCACTAATGTCTGTTACGTGTATTTAACTATGGATGGCTGCTTCTATGTGAGTAATCCATTACCTGGCTTTTTAAAATTATGCACTAATTCCAGGAGTCCGTACTCAAAAACACTTCAAGGAATTGTGAACTATACTTGGAGCATTAATTCCTCTACAAACTTTATTTTACTTTAGCAGGATTTTTTTATAAGCCTGATGAACTTGTGAGTACCTCCTTCCCAACGCTGGCTTTTTCAGTTGTCCTCCAAAGACTTATAGCTCTTCAGGTGAAGGAACGCTTGGACATTACCTTTGTGGTACCATATTTATTCACTATCAGGATAATTAGGGAGTAATGTGAGAAGATGAACTCAAGATTTTGAAATGCTAAGAGTTTAACATAGCTGGTATACTTTTGAAACTGTGAGAAATAGTTATATCCCTTTTGCATGTGACCTGTCATGAGTTTACCTTAAATGTTGTTGTCTTTCTATGAAAAGTAATCTCTGAATGTTAGGGTATTTTTACTTACAGTTCAGTTTGAGTTTTAACTCTGCTGCTTGGATTAACTAAAAATGTGTGTTTTACTGCCATGTAATTGGCAGCTTTCCTATATTTCTATTTCTGCTTATTTTTAAATGGGTATTTTTGCAGCGTGACAGAATAACAAGCTTCAGAAAATCAGCAGTGAAAAAAGAGAAACCTCTCATTCAGCATCCTATTGACTCTCAACCTTCTATAAGTGAAATCCCGCTTGCCCAGGCACTTGTTGATGAGCGTTGCATGAACTTATCAGAAAAAGAAGTTATGGATCTCTTTGAAAAAATGATGGTAAGATGATGTGCTAAATTGTTTTATGAGGTTTTAATTTGTTTTCATGTTGGCATTTATTACGTAGCAGGGACTTTCAAATGTTGTTTTGGAAGTATTAACTACTTGGGAGGGCATAGCATAGCATAGGCCTGATAGACATCTAAATTGGCACATAAACAATTGAGTAACTCATAGAGTGCTAGTATTATATATGTTTAAATTACTTGGTCTACTTCTACAGAGAAAACCAAGGCAAAAAGCCAAAAATAGAAATCTTAAGCTGTTGAGTGCTTCATTAAGATAACCTCTATAGACCTTAGTTGCGGTAGTTAGATACTGCTGTTGAAGGATAGTTTTTAGTAAACTTATGTAAATACCTTTGGAAAATAGTAATTTCCATTAATAAAAATCTTATGGTATAGAAAGCTGAATTTTTGTATAGTCTTAAGTATTTTCTGTCTTGGGAGCACTTGTCAAGGTTTCTGGTTCCCCTCGCAAGCAAGCTTTTCTATTAGTAATACAGAAACAAACTTTTGAAGTAGGTGTGTATTAATTCTGCCATGCACATTGGCGTTGATACATGAAGTATAAGCAAATGCAGTATTTTGAGTATTGTTGGAATCTCTATTGAAAGGCTGGATAAATGTTAATTAATACTTGCTTGATTTGCTTGTTAGATTAAGGGCTTAATTTTTAACTTTTCCAAGTAATGTTAATTGAAGCAGACAATAAGTCTGTCTTCCAGAGACTAATAATTCTTTGAAAAAGCTATTAGCTAGTAAACTGTTACACTAATATTTACTGGTATTAGTTGCTAATCTGAAGTTACTTTGACTTTTAATGGCAAGACAAGTCATGACTAGTAATGACTACATGTTGTATTTATCAGTTATTAAGTTGAAACAGGTATCTCTAGATTTAATCTAGCAGAATATTTGGATTTTTAGGTTTGTTTTAAATACATCAGTTGGAACACATTCACATCTACCGCTGCCACAAGCTAATTATCTATGTAATAACAGCCTTCTGATTAGATAGTGCAGCAATGGTGTCCATTGTGATAAAATTTTATAAAAAACACAGGAACTTCACAAGAGTTAACACTTACGTGATCAGCTTGAGGTGTAGAATTTTTGGGTTTGTCCTCTAGTTTTATTTCTTGAGCCAAATTTCACTAATGGTAACTACCCCTGATGCAATTATAATTTTGGCTAAGTCATGAAAACAGCGACCACTTGAAGTGACAGAATTAAATGAGGAAACCAGGTAGCTCAGAATTAAACAAACTGAAACACACATAACCTGGAAAAAGTCACTTCTGTTTGTTTAAAAATGAGCTGTTTGTTTGAGAAAAGGAGTATAAAAATAACAAAGACTGATAAAAAGCATGAAATAAAATCTTGATGTTGTGTGGTCTGTTTCTTTACAGGAAGACATGAACCTAAATGAAGAACGTAAAGCTCCTTTAAGAGATAAAGACTTGACCACAAAACGTGAGATGGTTGTCCAATACATTTCTGCAACTGCCAAATCTGTAAGTAGTCACCTCTCCAAGACAGATGAAAGTAAGAAGCTTAGCTTTGTGAGTGTTATACTTTTCAAGCTTGAAAATTTCAGGGTTTTTTGTCTGGATTTATCTTCTAAGAGTGGTAGGGAAAAAAAAAATATCTGTACTTACTAATATACTTCTAAATGCTTGCAGCTGCGTCTGAAGGGTTAGTTTGTGTGGCAGTTGTTGGGCATTGTAAAAACTTGGATGCTTTCTTGTAAACCGTAAGAAATTGCAAATCCAATGATGTAGATTAATGGATGGAAGCTGAGCATATTTCTGTGGTATTCATCTTACGAATTTTTGGTACCAAATGTTTTTCGAAGGGATAGCATGACTTTATGGTTTCATTAATGACATACATGCTGGATGTACAATTTGCAGTGTTAGAAACAGGGAATCAAAATATTGAAAGTATTTAAAATTGAAGTCAAGTCAGTATTTTAGCTTAATTTGAATATGTTGAGTACTGTAGCTGGCTTGAAGACTGCGTTAAATATTCTGCTAAGAAATGTTCTGAAGGTAAATAGAACGATTCCTTTAGTGAAAAGATGGTCTTAAAATGAGTTTCAAATTATATTTTGAGTAGAAAAAATATATTCAGACCTTTCATTTGTGTTGATCATTCTCTGTACTTAAGTTGTTTGATTAACCCTTAGTTGATTGATCCTTCATGCAGAATTTTTGAAGTCTGTCTGTTTCAGGGTGTCAGAAGTGTAAGAGAACCACTGGATGCCCCAACATTTGTTGGGGTGGAGAAATACAATTTCAAATAGTGAAGAGCTGCAATTTATTTTCTGCAGTGGGACTAATAGTAGTGGGACTATTAGTATGAATTAGTTACAAAATACAGCAGTAATGCTTTTCACGTGTTAAAAATTGGCTATGACAAATACGGTTCTTATCATGTAAAAGGAGAATATGCCACAAAAATTCATGAATGTTGGGTGAAACAGAGAGAGAGAGAGAGATATGTTGTGATTTCCCTAGAAATAGGTTTTGTCCTGATTTTTGCCACTATTTGTTGTATAAAGAATTTTAAAGAAGCTAGTGGGGAATTCTGGGGAGCTGAATGTATTGCAGTATTGGGAAGAACCGGTGGTGGGGGTAGCTTTGTGTATCCAAGGGGCAGTAGTATGCTTCAAGTGATAAAATTTGCTATCAGCATAGTTCTTCAATAAAATTAGGGAATGCATATGATTTTATTTGGAAATTAGGATCAATCTCATCTTTTTTTCACACCTAAGTTTTATTGTGTGCAATAAAAGGTTACTGGATTTGAAGACTGTGTGTGGAATAATTGTTCAAATACATAATGGCAGCACTGCTAGCAGTTCTACAGAGCTGAGTCTTGGGTGCTAAATACAGATAGCATTAAAAAATAATCTGTTTCTCAGTGAAGTAAACTGGCAAATAAGGTTATGTTGGTGTCTGCCTAGTGAATCTATAAGCATGGACTGCAAGCAGCACAGTTGACTTCCTTTTCTTTTAACCTTTAAAATCAGCTCTGCAGGCTAAATTTCAAAAAATTAAAACTACAATGACATGCAATTATTAAATGCAAATGCTTTGGAACTTAAGTGAGGAAAAACTTGCATTATAATGTGAAAATGGTGATTTACATTTCTGAGAGGAGTGATGTTCCTGCAGGAACTCATCTTAAACAAAATCCATGGGCGTTTAGTCTGTCAGGGAAGGGATCCAGTGCTTAAAGCATGGTTTAGCTAAACATACAAGTTATTGGAGAATTATTCAAGCTTATGCAGTGAATATTATGAAATTTCCTGTTAATATACTTTATCTAGACTGTCTTCGGGAGCTATTGATTATGTGTTGTAAGGTTTTTGTCTTCACATGATGATCAATGTTAAATCTTAAATTTTTCTTAGTAAGCAAAAATATTTTATTGAAGCAGTAGAAACTTTCACAATGGAAGTACTTGCAGTTCTTTCCCAAAACATAGTTGGATGATGGTGATCTCTCTTATATATATCGACATCGAAATGTAGCTGCCTCAAGTACCATCATTTTGTAGCTGAGTAAGAAAAGCATGGCTACCACTGCATGTCTAACTGCTGAAAACGTTAACATTTTGCATTACTGCCACCATATGCGCTGCAGCATGGGAAACTTAACAGAACTGGGGATATGTTTGCCAAAATGTACTAACAATTTAAAAAAAAAAATTTAAATCCCCAAATGTCCTCATATATGAATGTGTGCTTTGAACTTAAGTGAGCACCAGTATGGATTTTTTACATATGCAAAATGATTTTCCTAATGGAAAAAGGGCTCGTATCAAAGTTTGTGTGCTTCAGTAAGTCCTTCTTGCAATCGAATCGCAGCATTTGAAAGGAATAAGTTAAGGTTGTTCAGAAATATGAATGACCTTTCTGTAGTGCATTACCCTAATTTAGCTTTTAAATAGCTAGCATCTTAACTGAAAAAAAAAACCAACAACTATAAAAAGTAGAGCTCAGTTGTAAAATGTTGATTGGGATCTTACAATAAAGCAAAACCTCATTTTCACTGTTATTTTCATCTTCTGTTTAGTTAACCTACTATTCTACTTAGTTGAATTCAAGCCCTAACCAATTTTTACTGGATCATGAATTGTCAAACTTTCCTTTCTTCAGCCCATCTTCAGGCTTGTCTTCCATGAAAATGCTGATCGCAGTCAAGATGAGCTTTCTTAAAATTTTCTACCTTTTTCTTTCGTCACAGATAATTGTTCATCTGTCTGTCTTTTTTATACTGAAAATACTTCGGCCTTTTCTTCTGCTTAGAGCTCACGAAGCACACTTAACAGTTGATGTGACTTTTCTTCCAGTTCACTTCATGTTTGTTTTAGTTAGGCTTTTGAGCTTTCTCCACTCATTTGAAAATATCACTCTCATTTGCTGATGTTGTCTTAACCAAGTTATTTTTAAATTTGGTGCTTCATTTTCTCTGCCTTATGTGCCACCTGCAGCATGTTGACCATGCTTTTCTGAAACACTGTACTGTCTTCAGAGTTCCGTGTGAGAAAAAAACCTTGGTTTTCAATCGATGAAAAAAAGCTTTCCTTTTCCTTGGGGGATGGAGGAAGGATAGAAGCTAATAAGCTGGATGCTTTCATGTGAAGTGATTATCTGTGTTTCTGATTCCTTCTCTCACTCGAAGAGAAAGATTGTTGACCATGGAAATTATACTTGGGAAATGGAGAAGGCTCAGAATTCTGTTTCAGAACTGAACTTGGTGACCTGTCATACTGAATGAGTTGAATATTGGTGAGAGAAGAAGGTAGTAAATTAGGAAAAGAGATTGTCTGGTGATGACAGTTCATCTTGTGCTTCTAGAGGAAGCCTCATCAGGAAGAGGAGAAGAGGTGATTGTGAAAGACTTTCAGGGACTTCTGTTTTCTGAAAGACTTCCTAAAAGAGTAATGGAAGAGATAAGAGTTAAAAATGAAGCAGGTAGAGGCTGAACAGATACAATCAAATTTAGATCTCGGAACAAAATCATACTGTTTCAGGCTTTTATTAAGATAAAAGTGGTTATTCAATAAACTGGCTGCTATCAGATTGCAGCAAATAGCTGACAAGGAAAGGCCTACAATATTTAGGCAGAAGTCTGTAGTTCTGGTGTTCACAGGAACATGGTTGTTTGTGTAAAGTGATAGAACAGGGCAGAGATGTGCTGCCTTTCTGTAGTTTCTTCCATGTAAAGTCAACTTCTTGTTCATGAATATGCAGAGATGCTGTTCCATGTAAAAATGAGATGATGTCATTCTGTAAATCACTGCTTAATTATCCATGTAATTAAAAGCATCCATACTGAGCAGTTGAAGAAAAGTGCTGCATGAGATTTTCTGAAATGCAAGTTAGATTTATAACTGTAGGCTATGTGTTTGATTATGAAAACTTAATTAAATTCAGTGATGACATCATCTAAATAGATCAAAAGCTCCATAATAAATGCAGTTGTTATATGTACGAGGAAGTCAGTATGCCATGTTCTTTTCTGTAGTTTTCTCAGTGTCATATATAAAGTATCTGACCTGATAATTTTAACAAAATGGCATATCTCTTAACCTTTCAAGATGTAGATGTCAAGCTAGGTATGTAGTTATTTGTTTGGAAATGTGTAAAATACTGATGATTCAGCAGCAGAACATAAGAATTTCAAATTATTTCTCCTACAGTAGAAATACTGTTTTCCTGTTGAGAAGCTGTAACTCTTAAACAGTTTGAAAAAGTAATAAAAGAATGTAACTACTACTAATGATTAAACGCTGAAAAATTTGTGTGATGCTACATCCTACTAAGTACTTTGCTGTGTTTATTTATGTATTATTATTATCTTTTTTACACAATAACCTCTCTTGGCTGACCACTGCATGCAGATAGTCGGAAGTAAAGTTCCGGTGAGTATGAACATGATAGTTTTGTTTTTTCTTGTGAATACACTTCCATTTTTAGAGATTAGGGTGGAATATTTTGGACTTTTAACTTGGATTTAAAAGTTCAGTGGGTATAACTGGAGCCTTGTTTTATCAAAATAATTACCAACTACCTCAATCATGTTTATCTTGCCAGTATAAGATCATTGATTGCACGTTTGAGGGATCTGTTTTTAAGTTTTCCGAAATTTATTTCCAAATACTTCAGACTCACTGAGAACTCATCTGTTCATCGTGAGCAACAAATATAATTTAGACTTGTCTTGCTTTTTGTTGAAGGCAATCACTCAAAACTTTAAATTTACGGTATTTGGCTTACTTTGTTCTGTTTAGGCATTAGCATGTCCTAATTGTTAGCATTCATAGTTTATCATGGAAATGTCAGCTGCTGGATATCAGTGTGAGAATAAGATTAACGTAGAGGATTCAGAAGGTCAGTTAATAAGCATAAGATGAGCTCACTCACAGCATAAATTTTATTAAGTGCTCAGCTACATTTTATGTTAAATCATAGTTGAATTTAGTGATTTTTTTTTTTTTTAAA